GCAGGGACGGACAATTAAGTCCAAGCGCGATAGAATGTGAGTGAATTGTTGTGAACTATAGTGTGTGTAACTGTGAAAACTAAGTACATTACAAAGTTGTATTGAGGAAGAATAAACAAGTTTTATAAAGAAAGGACCTGTATCTTAGAAGAATTAACAAACAAACATACAGAGACGTAACAATAGATACATCTCCACAGCAAGATTAAAGCACTATTCCCGATAAGTGGTAATCAGATAGCTTTATAAAAGTTACTGCAATTATTTTCTCAATAGTTTCTTAAAAAGGGGTTTTCAAAAATTGATAAATTTAACTACTACAGTTATGATGTGGTGCTACATTTGAGGACTAACATTGTAAAACATAAATCAGGAATTTAACTTTATTTATTTTTTCCTATTTGTGCTTTTTACTTCTCTTCTTGACAAATTAATTTGCCCAGTATCCCCCGGTAAGTTTACGGACTTATAACGCTAAAATCCAGGGTTCGATTCCCCGCAGCAGATATCCCAATGTGGATTTACTCTAAAAAACAAACATCCCAGTGGCTCAGTAATAAATCTGAAAGCTTATAACGCTAGAAACTGAGTTTCAAAACACGTGGCGGGTACAGCACAAATAGACCATTGTACGTGTAGCTCTGTGCTTAACATCAAATAAACAATCAAAACTAATTCATTTCTTGCATTTGTAAAAGTACTACTAATGTTTCTATATAATTTTGTTTAATTATTATTATTATTTTTTTAATGGTATCGTTCTCATATTTCAATTGCCCTTGATACTCAATAGAGGGAACTGTAGCGGTATACTCGTCTGCTTTGCTTAAGTATGTTGCTTACTCTGTGTGAGAAAATGCGATTAATAATTTGTTAGTTTGATCTTTAAATTGAAACGTATTCCGTGCTGGTAATAATTTCATGTATGTATATACATCAAATACATAATTTAATTTTGAAGCTTAGTTGTAATTATGATAATGTTAATAGCTTATCGAGATTCGTTGCTTGAATATATAGAAATGCTGGAGAAGCCGCGCTACGTCGTAAAACTAAACGCTGGCAGATAATAGCATACGGAGAGAAACATGGTCTTTCAAGGATGTTCCTTCTCCTCTCCCAATAGAAAAATACCCCCCCCCCAAAAAAAAAACACGCTTTATTTTACAGGAAATCATAGATCCCTTCATTAAACTCTTGTAATGTGTCGGCCTGTAATGCCGACGTCAACTCATCCTTTAAAATTAAAGTCTTACCATCCTGTTCCAGTGTCAAAAAAATTAACGTCTTACAACGTTTTACAAAACTTAAACTTGTATCCTCTGCACCTGTTCTTGTCAGAATTCAGTACAGAGATATCAGAGGCTTTTAATCCTTTTGACTTTATTCTTATGATCCTTTAAGTAATCGTTTAAGCTTGAATAAAATAATGTCTTACCATTTATTCTCAAATGAAAACAAGTTAAGAGTTTTAACTTGTATAACCAATAAGAGAACCCTTCCATCCCCAGAATCGTTCTATTAACCCTCTTCAGAATCCTTTCTAATTAGTCTATGAACTTTCTTAATAGATAAGACCATGATTCATGCAAGACTAAACTAGTGATTTGTATAAATTAGGAGATACTTATTTCTCCCCACTGTTTTTCTAACTTGTGATAAATTTGTTTATAGATGCACCCTAAAGCCCTATTAGCTTTACTACTAGCAACAGAGCAGTGTCTTAATAGCTTATTTATCAGAATGACATGATCCTTTTTTTCAGTCACTCTATTCAGTGGGTTCTCATCAACATTAAGTGTGTGATTGAAATTATGATAATTCAAATGTCTAACTTACTAATTGATCCAAGTCATTTTGTAGTACCTCAGTGTCCTCATCACAGTTAGAAATATCAAAGTTTTTAATGCCATTAATAAACATTACTAATTATGCCTGTATTAATGTCATTAATGTAAATATAAAAATAACAAAAGATCCAAGCACTTATTCCTTAGGCATACCACTGATAACAGGAATCCAGTTTGACAAACACCTTTAATAACATTTTGTTTTCTCTGTCCCAGCACCCTAAAATACAGTTAACAAATCTTTCACAAATCCCTGGAAATGTGACTTTCTAATTTAATTTTCTGTGTGACACCTTATCAAAAACTGTATAAAAAAATATAAGTATACACCCAGTTCACACTCTGTTCCATCATCCAGATAATAAGTAACATCCCCAAAGAAAGGTAACACAATACTAAGTTAAGATGTTGCCTTTAATGAATCAAAGTTCACTTTCTTTTATGATAACCTTTGTTACTAAATGGTTTTTCAAAGCTCATTTTATCAGACTGTCTAGAAATTATACAAATACAGAAGCAAGACTTCTAATTTTCAGGGCATTATGTCCCAGAAATACAATATACTGTGTTCTATATTGATTAGGGTTATTAATTTCAGATAGCACTTAGCTTATGGTTGAGAATTGTTTTGAAAACTTTGATGCCAATTATAAAAGTATTGTAACATTCTTACTACTGTTAATTGTTTTAAATTTTTTTACTATTAAAGATATTTTAAATAAAAATGAGAAATAGACTTAAGAATTATTTTAATTTCATTTTGAATGTAATGGAAATATGAGATAGTTTAATACATATAAGAATTTTACTATTCTTGGTTTATGATTTATTCTTTCAGGAATTATTAAACCTTATGATTTTTAACTTAAACTTTAATTTCAGATCATTACATCAAAGGGATGGCCTTTACAAAATTGAGAATAAACTTACTAGATAAGGGCTTGTTGAAAATTTTACATATGCCACAATTCTGGCTTCAATCTGAAAAAGTTTGGCTTAGCCAGAGGAAGCTTTCTTGCCAAATTAAATTTCACAGACCCTTACTTTCTTGCAAACGAGAAATCAAGATGAATAGCAATCATTGGAAAAACAACGCCATCTACATTTCCTGTCCCGTTTTTGGAGCATGGAGATTGTGTACAACCCCGAGTGGCTCTCAGAAAAGTTCACAGAATTGGTAAAAATTTTCATTGTATGAAAATGCTAGTATGGAATAAAGATTGTTTGTAAAATAAAAAACAACCATAATTATAATGCGTATATCTAGATGAGCAAAATTTGGAACTTTTTTCATTATTTGTATCATACATGAATAATAATACAGATGGAAAAGGCATTTCGGATGCATTCAGAGAAAAATCATTATTGGTTAGCTTGAGAGGGAAATTTAATAAGTGTATATTGGATTCAAGATTAATAAATTTTGTATATAAAACACATGACTGTAACTTTGAGATAATTCCTTCATTTGACCAGAAATTATCATTCAGATAAATCTCCCAGGAATTAACTGTAATAAAGAGTCATTATAACTGCAGTTGCAGTATTGATAGCTGTAATTAGAAGTGCTTAATATTATCGAGAGAATGATATCTTACTTTAAAAAATATAATTTTTAATTTGAGATTGAATATATTTCTTTAGAAGTGAGATTTAATCAAACATCATTAGCTATGTATCGGAAATTCATATTATTGCTGTACTAGCTTGCAAGTTGTTGGTTTTTTTTGGGGGGAGGGAGATTAAGGCAACTTTTGAATATCGGTTATCCCAGCTTCTGTAAGGTTTTTTTCTTATGAAATGATTTACAAAAGGTTGGTTAACAAGTGTTAGTTATGATATTAATGGTGTAGAGAGAATTATATAACCAAGCACACAATTAATTTTGGCATGCTGTAACTAATAAATTATTTCAGTTTGACATATTAAAAGGTTGAATTTGTCATGAAGCATTGTTTATAGCTTGTTTATTGTTCCTTTTTATGTGGACTACAAGATAATGTCTAGCATGTCAAAGTCACAAGTTCAAAACATTATAATAAATGCATATTTTAATTTCATGAACTCTGACCACCAGGACCTACTGCTAAGTGTACCAATAGTAGTTTGTTAAATATAAATATCATATAAAGCTGACAAATATGTCTTGACTTGAGGAGCATTTGTCTCTAAATCAAATCACTTTGCTTACAAACATTTCCATATGGTTCAACTATTTTCCATCTGTCCTTAAACTATGTACCAATTTCGTATTAAATGTCAAGCTATCTTTGAGGGTTGGAGGAAAAAAATAAATAATTTGTAACAGTATAAGAACCTGGTAACCCTAGTTCTAGACCCAATTTGATACCTAATTTTCACTTTTTTTTCTTGTTTTCTTTGGCGTTACTTTTAAAGGAATCCCCCAAATGTGAGCTTTCCGAAACTGTAAAACATTTTTATATGTTGCAATGAAGGCAGCTAATTCTAAATAGTATATGTAAAACAGTCATACATTGGACCTCTTGAAATTCTACTAATTTAACCAAAAGTTATGAGGAATTTTTTTTATGCCCTGTAATTATAACTGGTACAAAAACAAGCAAAAAAGTCTATTATTTTGATTTGAAAAACGTTTTTATATGTTTAACATTTTAATTGCATTCTTTCATGGTTTTTTAACATGGAACATTTTTTCAAAAAGAGATCTAATAATGAATAAATTAAAACCTTAAAATTTACCAAAGAACATTTTGTTCTGGTCAAGTGTATTAATATAATTTGTTTCAGGATCTCCAGCAGAATAGAGATTGTAATTGCCAATTAAAACAACACCCTTTCATTAATTATAATATAACATAATATTTTGGAACAACATGGGACCTATTGGTCCATCTCAGCTGTTCCATCCCCAAAACTAAATTAAAATGATTAAAAATAAATATAAAATAATAACTTTAAACCCAGCCCTTTTCTTAAACTCACTTAAATTTACTGCCTCCACAAAATCTGAAGGCAACCCATTCCAAAGGTCAACCACCCTGTTAGAAAATAGAACTGTATTAGCTGAAGATGACTCCTACCTTGACCTAAATTTATATTTGTGTCCCATAGTTCTA